AGAAGAATAGCTTTATATATAGTCCATGAGTACCAGCTCCTGAATTCTGTAACCATCAGGGATTACTACCTTCAGAACCTTATTTCTGAACTCTTAGAACAGTTGGGGAAAGCACTCATTTTACCTACAATCTGAAGGGAGTGGAGGTGCAATAAAATGCTTTTGATTGTAAATATTGGAAGCTAGTATAAATATCTGCATCTTTTGATCACCTGCTGGCAAAAGTAACTTCTAAAGATTCACAAATTATCCATTATTTTCTGGACAATACTTTGATTAGCTATTTAAACAATTTGCTTTTTCTCTGAAGCTCCTGACCTTCATGCCAATCAAGTTCAAATAGTTCTTCAATACTTTCCTGTCAGCCCCACTCGAGAGCAGACCAAAAATCAACTTCACAGGAAGATAAAAGTATCTTTATTGATATTGGCTGTAATAACAGAAACCTGCAAGTCTGAGTGTGCCGTTTCTCTTCCTCCTCTTCCTGGTTCAGTAATTAGATATGTCTACCTAAGCTACTTCTGAAGGTTATCTGGCTATTCTGGACTTTAAAAATACTTCAGTCCCCTTTGCCCCGGGTGTATCTCTGTCAAGGTCATCCTCTCTACTCTCCATACCTCAAGATCACAATCTTTAAGCTAATTTCTAAAAATGTATTGTTGAACACTCTGTGTTGAACTATTTGGAATTCATATGAACCCAGCATCTTAAGTTTCTGAGATCTTAACTATATTTTCAGTCATGTGCAGATTTGGAAGGGGGTTGACTATTTTTACTATAGAATTTGCCCTAATTTTGCTGTTGTGACCACACAATTGAAAATAATTCCAATTTAGAATTCCAATGAGATTCTGAAGCCCATTAAGCCTTTCTTCAGTTCAAACAAGCATTCATTTCTTGGATTAGTTTTCATCATACAAATCCCATTCCTCTACATTTTTGGGAAACTTATATTAATGCAACCTAAAATTACATTTGCCCTTTTTGCAACCATATTACACTTTTGGCCATCTCAATTCCAATTGAAAGTGATTGCTAATAAATTTATCTTTTATACTTGCAGCAAAGTCTGGCTGATACCATTAAACAGCAAAATGCCACCTTTGTGAATACTGAGTTATTAATTGCCGTAATAGATTATGTTATAAACAAATAAAACCTTATCTGCAGTACATATTCTATATGATTTCCTTTGTTCCTTTGTTTATCTAGCATGTTTACCAATCATGTTAGATAAAATAACTGCATTTCACCTACCTTTTATTTTAGTTTTTGTATGTGTGTTCAATCATGTCTATTTCTTTGAGACTACCTGAACAAATTCCTGCAATTTTCTTGGCCAGGTTTTTCAGAATTGTATGATGGGTATCAGTGGCTTTTTTCTTCTTTTGTACACATGATTTTTTTCTCTTTTTGAGCATTGGGTATTTGTTGATCTGGTGTTTTTTTTTCTTTGTTTTGTATTTTATCTTTGGTGATAAAAGAATAAATATGTTTAAAAAAAGAACTAGCAACTGCCATTTCACATTTTTGTTTATATAAGGACATTAATAATAAGATTCTATCTAGTATAGATTACTCATAGTCTTTTGCATTCACTCTCCAGTGGAATTTCTGTGTGATTTGCTGGAATGTGTGGTCTGTTTCTTCAGCTATGCTCCTATTTTCAAGACCAGGGGTCCCCAACCCCTGGTCCATGGACCGGCACCAGTCAGTGGCATCCCAGCAACTGGTCTGCACAAACAAAGCCTCATCCATGGGATGCAGGCAGTACATGAAACCACACACCCTCCAATCTGCAGAAAAACCTTTTTTCATGAAACTGGTCCCTGGGGCTGAAAAGGTTGGGAACCTCTGTTCAAGACTTTTCATTCCAGTTTCAGTCTCTGAGCAAATTCCAACTTCGATAAGGAAATTCCATTAGAGAACCACAAAAATTAATCTTATTCTGCCCTCGTGTGGTCAATCTGAAATAACAGTGCCTTAGACATGCTGATAAATTCTGCCACTACAAGAAGGAAATTAAGCTTTGTCGTTTTATAAACATATCATATATAAAATTGGATAAATTTAAAAAGCTATTCTGATGTTTTAGCATAACTCCTATATGGGAACAAGCAAATTAAAACATTCTTAATTTAAAAAAAGTTAATATGGTTAATGGAAATATGGTTCCCTCACATGATTAGCATTAAAATGTCATTTTAATACAATTTCTTCTTTGCATTATGGCTTCCAAAATGGAAACCTAAAACTGTAATTTATGCATCTTCTTCACCCCTAACTGATCTGTTTTTGGGGAAAAAATATCACTGATTCTATCCAGTCTTTGTTGTTTAATATAGCTTTTTAAAAAATAAACATTTTCTTTTCCCTTCAAAGTAACTTGAATAATAATACCATTATAACATTTATTTTTGTTCAAAATTACTGGCAACTTGTCTTATGGTTTTGTCCAAAATTTTCATTTTCACTATTTTTTTTGAGACAGACTTAAAGTCCTGCAGATTTAGTCACAATTATTTTTTGTTTTCCAAAATTAAGCTTATTTCTAGGTTTGCGAGCTATAAACTAGCCAAATAGAGTTAGATTCGCACACCAGAAGCCTCAAAAATATTTAACCACATTTAGAATCTGCTAGATCTTCAGGTGGCTGGGTTAAGCATGTGGTAATGAATAAAACTAGTGAACATGGGAACTTGATATGCATTTTCCACATGCTGGTCTAACATCTTATTATTACAGTACACTATTAACAAAGTTTCCTTCCTCCTCCAAATAAACTTAAGACACAACTGATTTTTTCTTGGCCAATTTTTTTTTCTGCCTTCAAGACAGGCTTGGCAACTGTCTGGAGAAATCCCTGCAATTTTCTTGACAAAATTTTTGGAAATAGCTTGCGATTGCCTTCATCTTAGGACTGAGAGAGAGCCATTCATCTAAATTCATCAGCTGTCTTCATGCTTAAGCTAGGATAAGAACTAACATTCTCTTAGTTTCCAGATCAATGCTTTTAACCACCAAACTGGTTCTCATAATTAAATAAGCCTAAATATCTAAGAACAGAATTTTCCTTTTCTTCTACTGAACATAGCCTAGGAATTTGTGGGGAACAGGCAAATGATGAAATAAGTGCTATGGCATAAGGTTTGCTCTTTTTGTATGTGATGCCATTGTACATATCTGTGTCAGGGGAAAAATTTGCAATGTGACATTGTGATCCTTGTTTCATCATTTTGATGCAACCGCTATTGTCTCATTTGTGTTGCTTTCCATAGCCATAAAGAGAGTTTTCTGTTTGGGCTTCCTTGTTTAGTGTCCTTTAATATTTGTATAAATTATCTGCCATGACTTCAATAATTTATGATCAAACAAGCAGTGCATACTGTGTATTTCATTCACGGTATCCTGAATTAGACAAATTTGGACAAATTTAAGCAATGTCCAAGGCAGGCCATCTCTGACACCTTGTTTAGTAATTCACAAATAAAAGAACAAATCTGCAAAAATTGTACACATTTCTTCCCAAACTCTCTAGATAAGGAAAAGTCCAGGGTGGGCAGGGATGAGGAGTGAAATATTTTTATTACTAGCTCAGGCTTCTAAGTATAATTAGTGGGTTTAAGGGATCTCTTCATTTACTCTTCATCTCCATGCCTGACTTGAAGTCCATTATTTTCTGTTTGCCATCTGCAAATGGTATTTTCAATCCATTTCTTTCTCCCCATTGTGAAAAAATAATCCTGTTCTACTTGTCTATGTACTAAGCCTTTGCAATTGAATTAATGATCATGCACACTAATATACTATCACATAAAGTGCAGACTTACAAAAATAGGTTATTCAGTAACAACGCACACGGACAGACTTCTCATGTGTTTTTTAACTGCTGCACAAGCAGCATAGTTACACACAGAAATTTAGATACCTGGTCAATTTGTATATTTCAATCATTAAAGAGAAGCTGCCACAACCTTTCCATGTATAGAGTTAAATGCATAATCTTTCCGCAAATCTGAACGTGTTCATCGTGCACTGGGTGACTTTGGGTGAATGAATCTTTTTCAGCCCAAACTAAATTAGCTGTTGTTGAGAAAAAAACTGGAGAGAAAGCTCCTAAAATGGGACATCAATCTAATAAACCATTCATAATGAACTGTTAAAACTAAAACTCTGCAGAAGTAACATCTGTTTATCATCCTTTTGATTTTCACCTCAAAAAATAAGTAGCTCTGTTTTAAGCTTCCCTACTATAGTCTGACTGAATCTTGTATAAATGTAATCTTGAATTATTTCAAATATAGCAGAAATGGCACAAATATAGCAGATCATAGCACTAATAAAATGAACATTTAATTTTAAATGATGGAAAAATAATGGAGTGATTTAATGGAATAAGGCAAAACTGTTGCAAGTTCTCCTTCTCTCAAGATTCCATTGGCCCATCTACCTCTAACTTTGCCAGTGCCATTTTCTCTCACTGTTGATGAACTAGCTTATCTGCTTATTCCTTATTACAATGGTATCACTCGAACCCTTTTCCCACCAGCTGTCCCATCCCCCTATTCTTCTCAGCACTTCCACCTCCCTATTTTAAATTAATGTCAATTTCTGTGGCCACCCATCTCAGGTCTATGACTCTATGCTCAGCTGCCATCAACATATTTGGGTTTTGTTTTCGTTCTTACATCCCTTGTGCCCCTAAGAATTTTGATATATGCACAGAACAAAACAGCCCCCAAATTATTCTAGATGCAGATCAAAGGATCCAATTTCAGTTCAACATATAATCTTTGGCATACGGTTACATCTTTCTTTTAATCTGAAATGGTATTTTGATTTACCTGAACATCCTTAATAGTTAAATCCTAATGGGTGGGTGGATATTTTGAATGCTGAGCATGTTGGGGGCATTCAGAATTGGATGCCCTGAGAGGGAGTTTGTCTAATTACAAAATGGCCACCACTGGAAGCCTGGCAAGCCTCTAAATGCTCATTAACAGAGGTTGAGTTAAAAAAAAAAAGGCTGCTTCCTTTTGTCCTAGTAACACCCCCTTGCACTGTTAAGTCAATATGTAAAAATTATTTGGTTACACTTTTTTAGAATATATTCTGTTTTTCTTCACTGTGTGTGTGTGGGGGGGGGGTATTACATTAGTCTCAGCAAACAAAACAGTATTTTGAGAAGCAAAAGGAAAACATCCAGGCATATAAAATGCTATTTCAAAGTAACTCCTGTACATTTCTGCTTTAACAAATACCATGAAAAAAGATTAAAATTTAAACACATGTGATTACTCCCAGTACAACTCACACTTTCTTTTCTAACATACCAGTAGTAACATTACAACTTAGAAACAGCTTTTGGAAAGTTTCTAGTGGCTGCATACACAGCTTTTAACAGCCGAATACAGCAGTCTCAGACTGTACAAATTTATGTTAGATAATATGAAAGTGGGGGAAAAAAAGAACCATTAAGCTTAACCTTTATTGATTTATGCCCAAAATTTATAACTGTGTTCCACAAGAAAGATTAATGTTTTGGTATTATTGACAGGACAAGTGTGGACTTATTCAACAGACTTGAGGACAACATTTTTCTTCCCATTCTTAGCCTGGAGGCCAGCCCATCTGGCGTCCCCCAAGTACATGGAGATGCACATGATAGACTGACTGAGCACCATCTGGACCTTCATTCACAACCATTCGGTATCCTCTGCTCAGGCCTAATTCAGCTGCACATTTCTTGCCCACAATGATTAAATGGCCAAGAAGCTGAAAAAGAAAAGGAAAACACAGCATTTTAAGACAAAAAAGGAAAAACAGACTCTATAGAATAGCCAAACTAAAATCAAATTAGGTATCAAGAGTATATGTATACAGTACAGTTTCAGCACCAATAAGTTAATTCACCAAAAGTGGGAAACTCACCAAAAGTGTGGAACATACAGTATAAAAGGGCCAAAGCAGCTTGCGTATTCAGCCATTTCTCAAATGTTCTTTAGAGCAGATTTACTTACTGTTACACTGAAGATTAGCTCAGAAAAATGACAGCAAAAAAAGGGGAGAAGGTAAAAACTAGTTTTTCCTTTTTTTAGACTGGTAAAAAAATGTTTAGAGAAGATGCAATCTATACTCTCAGAGCAACATTCCCTCATATTCTATTGGAGGTTTTATAACTAACTTTTAAAAACCATTCAAGAAAAAACTTTGGGAAAAGTAAGAGGCTTGGAAAAAGTAAGAGACAGCCGGACAGTTGCATTCTTTTAGAGAGTTGTTGAGGCCACCTGGAGGTTTATCTGTGTCATTAGGATCACCTGAGTAGTGTGAATGGGTGTGGAGCCCTCTTGGAACAGTTGAAAGGACTGTGCTATAGACCAAGGGTGTCAAACTCGCAACATCATGTGACGTATCGTGACTTTTTTCCATTGCTGGCAATGGAGTGGGTGCGGTTTCGGCATGACGCATCCGGCCCATGGGCTGGCAGTTTGACACCCTTGCTGTAGACTGAAGACAGATGATGTCATATCCCTCTTCCTCTGTTGAGAGAGGACTGTTCAATTTTGACATAGATGGCCTCTTTGACCCCTCTTTCAAACCAGTGGGTCATCTTTGTACAAAATGTGGAATTGCTGTCTTCAAAAGAGTGGCCTTTGTCATTTAAATGCAGATGGACTCTTGAAATCGTGTCCTGATGGGTTTGTTCTCTTAGCTTAGGGCTATTAATTATTAATAGAGGCTATTAAGAAATCTGTTATTAGCCATTGCTGCTACTTTATAGGAATACAGTACAGTACAATCATCCTAAGCCTATATTGAAAATATAACAATAGAAAGTTAAATCTGATTGCACTGTAAGTATTATTTACAGAAATTCTAAATGTTTATAATTATAGTATGCAATCTAAATAAACCTTGTGTAGAAACTTAACAATGATAGCACTGGTCTTTACAGACAGTTACTACAAGGCAATGAAGTTTGACTTGCCACAATTTCTATACCCATAAGAACGATCCAGATTTTACTGTATTCCAATTTGTTTGGACACCATGTTGAAATTGATTAATGTTCTTGTAACAAGAATTGCTATTCAAGTTTTGGGTTCTCATGCTTAACTTACATGTTATCTCAGAAACTCAGAGATTTAAAAATGAAAATGAAAAAAAAAATTGCCTGACTTCTCCAAGAAACTCACCTCTCCTCATGCTTTTAATAATAGATTCCTGCTCCCACCCCACCCCTATAAGCTAAGAAAATAGTTTTTTGTTGACAAACATGGAACTAATCTGGGGCAGTCTTTTATTCTTTTCAAATAAAACCATAACGTTTGTTAAAGCTTTAAAAAAAAAGACACTTGAAAACTGAAATGTCCGTTAGTATTACACGTGTAATATAATCACCTTATATCAGTGGTGGCGAACCTTTTAGAGACCGAGTGCCCAAACTGCAACCCAAAACCCACTTATGCATCGTCGGGTGCCGGGTGGGTGTGGCCCATTGGGTGGGTGTGGCCCATTGAGTAGGCACAGCTGTGGTGGTAATGGCAGACTGGGTGGGGCTAAAAAGTTCAAACAATCAAATCCAACTTTGCAAGATCTTTTTTTTTTCCTACGAGAAGTTGAAATTGACTGATTGAACCTTTTTTTTTTTTTTGCACATGGCGGCAAAAATGTTTTATAAACCCCAGCTGAAGGCCTAGGACTGGGGCGACAGCGCGCGTGCCCACAGAGAGGGCTCTGAGTGCCACCTCTGGCACCTGTGCCATAGGTTCACTACCACTGCCTTACATCATTGAACTAAAGTTCTTGAGCTTTTGCTGATTTAGAAAACAAAACAAAACATACCATCCTTCAGATCTCTCAAATTTTAATTTAAGTTAATTCTTCTTATTGAAAAGCTGGCCGTTATTTAATAAAAAGGTTTTTTTGCAATACTTACAGCTGCATCGGTATCTTCTGCCTGAGATATCTGAGCAATATGTTTCTTAGGGATCACTAGGAAATGAGTTGGAGCTTGTGGAGAAATGTCATGGAACGCAAGGCACTGAATAGAAAAAGGCACTACTTTAGTAATAGCTTTTATAAAATGAATATAAATTTAAGTAAGCATATGAACTGAAAACAAGTTTTTAGCTGGACTACTTTGTATGAAATATTACCCTATGCTGGCCTGCTCTCTCAATAACAATAGTATTTTAAAATACAATTAACAATTCAAGCAAAACTTGATTAGAAGTTATGGACATGAAGACTGTGAGAAATAGACTGTAAGACGGATTTGTTAGTCACAACTTTTTAAAAATGTAGCTCTACTGGGATCCTTAAAAATAGTCCTGCTCACAACAAAAATACTTTTTCCAATCATAAACTGTGAATACAGACAAGATTGTAGGCAAAATAGAGCCACAAAGAAGAAAGTATCAGAATGTCTTCAGAAGCACTAAGGAAATCCTAAATAAAATGGGTGTAAACCAATTTTATTTTATTTAATTCCTGGATTTAAAGGGAAATGACAAATCAGATACTTACTCCCCCACCATTAATCTGTTCTCAATTACTTAGGTATTTTTGAACCATTGACTCCTTGTCTTTGCATGGTGTTTGTATAATTTAACATACAGCTAGCCTTGCAGGGAAGATTTTTTTCCCCATGTCCTCATATTTTTGTTTCATCCCAGATGCATAATGAATAGAACAGGGAATGTTATTTACTACTTTGCATTTCAGGGGGAAAGGTGCAATATAAATAACAAATGATTTGATAACTGGATTTGGTAATAATAGACAATTCTTCATTTGCATCTAGCCATGGCAGGAATATGCTCTGGCATATCTTTTTTTAGCTTGCCCTCAGCACAGCAATGAAACCATTTTACTTTGTCTTTAAATATATCACTGTTTTCTCCCTTGGTCAGACCTAGTCCAAGAGTACACTAAAGGTGTACAAAACCTGTTATCAGTCGTTAGTTTGGGAAAAAGGTCAAATTATTTGCTTATTTATATTGCAACTTTCCTTCTGAAGTGCATAGTAGTAAATAGCGTGCCCTGTTCTTTTCATTATTCATCTGGGGTGAAACAAATGAGGATATGGGGGAAAAATATTCCTGCAACGCTAGTTGTATGTTAAATTATACAAACACCTTTCAGACACAAGGGCCCAATGGTTGAAAATTATCTAAATAATTGAGAACAGACTATAATGGTGGGGGAGGAAGTGCCCTGATGTCTGCCTGGTTAGGATTATGCTAAATAATGTTAAGAAGCTTAATCTTCATAATAGAAAATCTAAGATTCAGGGTGGACCATTAATTGCAGGTAACATATCCTCCTTGATCGTTTTTTTTGGGGAGGAGGGGGAAGATGAGGGGAAAAGGAGGCAGGAAAAATAGAACCTCCAGGTGCAAAGAGTCTACCTTGAGGAGGGAAGAGAGGGAGGCACTCCACCCACAGGCCACGAGATAACAGTCCCGAGCCAACGCGGCCACTGAGCATGGCTCGAAATCATGCAAATGCCGATTCAGCGTGGCATTGCGGCCAAAAAAGGCAAATAGATCTGGCAAATTGATTTATGGCCGCAGCCATGCAAGCGCGTGCTCGCCCATTGAACGGAGGAGGAGGAAGCGGCTCCAAAGTCGCCCCGGTTTCCCCACCTTCTCGTCCTCGAAAATGATCTTGGCGGGGATCTCTTTACGGATGATTTTTCCGAATATGGTGTCCCCGCCCGGCTGAGCCGCCTGAGCCCTGCAAACCTCATCTGCCATCTCTGCAGAAACGCCCGGCGCCCGGCACCCTCTCCGTCGGGCCTTCTATACCCGGCCCAACCCCTTGAACTGACCAATAGCAAGCGTAGGATGGGAAACAAGCGGCAAAACTGCCCTATCAAAGCAATATGCTGATAGAGCCACCCGTTTTACCGATCGATTTCCCTGCTCGTCATTTTATTCCGCCTTCGCGTCTTTTCCCGAGGAATAGCAAATGCAGAGGCGCAATCGTACGATGCGGCAATAAAGTTTTTTTAAAAATTTTAAAAAGTTTTTTAAAAAAAAACTGGGAAAAATGCACTGAATGAGTTCAGCGTTTCTCATAAATTATTACAAGGCTTTATAAATGTCGCTTTTTCATTTCATTTGTTCAGCCTCTATAGTAATCAATGTTATTATTTTAATGTTTCTCTAAGTAGCATCGCATCGGACAATGCTACTGTTTCCGTGACATGTGAATTGGAAGCAAAGGAAAACATTATTTTTTTTTCTCTGTTAACACATTTTTTTGTGTGTATGCCTGGCACAATGTTTCTCAACCTCAGAAACTTTTAAAATGTGAAAACTTCAACTCCCAAAAATTCCCAAAAGGTCACCAACTGCCGGCTTGGCTAGGGAATTCTAGGATTTGAAGTCCATGCATCTTAAAAGCTGTTGAGGTTGAGCAACATTAGAGGAACGCTGATGCTATTTATTCCTTTCCTGAAAAAATAGTTCCCGCTTTCCCTTTTATAATGTTATTCTATATGTATAGCTCTCGAGTCATCTTTTATCTCCTCCTCCTCCTCCTCCTCCCATTCGCTGATTTGTCGTTGTCGTGAGACAATATTCTCATAGAACCAATAACGTGCACTGATGGGCGTGGCTCTATTCTTCCCGGAAACCTCTATAATAGGGATTCCTCCAAGAGCAGCGGTTTCAGCAATGCGAAGGGCAGAGGTTAGTTGATGATCCGATGTACCTTCGCAGGCAAGATACTGTTTTGGGGCGAAGATGCGGTGTTGCTGTTGGGCTGAGAACATTATTTGAGCCATATGGGAATGTATTATAGTTGGAGTACATGCAGAATATAGTACACATGAACGTGTAAGACATGTATCCCACTTTTTCTTGATTTTCTTACTAAGCTGCCTGACCCATATGGTTATTATATTTGTTTATTCGTGTCGGAAGCATCACAATTAAAATAAGGCATACTATATGACCTAAAATTTAAAATATACAAGATTAAAATATGTACAAATTAAACAGATCTTGCCCGGAATCTAGCAACATTAGTTGCGTTCTCTTGTGACATTGTTATTATGACCGATTGATTTTCAAATTATGCATACAGTATATGAATCATTGAAAACTTCCTTGATTTTTTTAATCTGCCAGATAATCTGGTCCTGAAAGTGAGAGTGTGATAAAGCCAGTGATTATGCTGTGCTGTTCAAATGATAGTAAGTTGTTTATTTCTTTTAGAATTACTTTTTGCTTTCTTATGATTTGCTTTGGATCTTCTACTGTATTAGATTACAATTTCCCATCATCCAAAATGCTGTAGAGCCCTATTGTATACCACTTTACATCTGGGTTCACACAACACATCTAGTACACCATGTTACAGTTCAGTGTAATGTATTAGTCCTAAATTTCTCACACGGTCATTGGTAAGCCATTCTCTTAGTCCGTTTTTTCCTCTTTAAATGGCATGTGTGCTTCAGGATTAATTCCTGGCAACTGCCTGGAGTCCCTGTAGTCTTCTTGGCATGATTTACACAGATGGTTTGTTATGTCTCCCTAAGGCTGAGAGAGACTGGCTCAAGGTCACCAGCTGGTTTCATGCGTAAGTTGAACTAAAATTCATTTTCCTGATTTTTAGCCTAATGGCTAAAACACTGCACCAAATTAGTTCTTATTTAAATGGATGGATAGATTATGCATTGAATGGGATGAAATGTCTATTGCTTCACTCGCATAAAAGCTGCTGTCACCCCTTTTGTTTTGTCTCCTAAACTCATGTATTCGTAATAGTTATTCAACCAGCAGAAATACAGCAGGCAATACCTCTTTTTTAATATATATAAATATTTTTATTGAGTTTTATAAAGGTAATACAGGGATAGGGTCAAAAAGGATAAGACAACGGGGAAACATACAAAAAGGTTAGACCAGGGGAAAGGGGTAACACAAAAGTGGGATTAATCCCACAAAATAACATCGCTTCAGTAAGTCTACCACTCCAGGTTTACATATTAAATCATAATAATTACTCTATTATAATCATGTAAATAAAAAATTAGTCAATAAATCTCATTCATTTCACTACTTAACAATGCTTAATATTAATTAATTATAATCACTTTAAAATAATAATATATTACATATTAATTATAGTTTACCATATTTAAGATCACAAATATACAAAGAGGAAGAAGAAGAAATAAGAACAAGTTCATACAAATAATCATGGAATATAAATACAAATTATCAATTATCTCTTTAAATTTCATAACCTTTTCTCATTCTAGCGTGTTTCTAACCAATAATAAAATTTCACCCATGTTTTAAAGTAAATTGTGTCTTCTTTCTCTTTCATTTCTAAAGTCAATCTATCCATTTCTGCACATTCGAGTATTTTTGTTATTATAGCCTGGTCAGATGGTAAATTTTAATTTTTCCAAAATTGGGCAAATATTATTCTGGCGGCTGTCAGCACATGCAATATTAAGTACTCATTCTCTTTTCCATAATTCAAACCTAATATTCCTAACAAACAGAGTTCTGGTTTAAATTCTATCTGTATTTTAATCATCTCTTCTAGCCACATATGGATCTTAAACCAAAACTTTTTAACATTAGGACATATCCACCAGAGATGATAATAAGTGCCTGGTTGTTGTTTACATTTCCAACACATATTTGATACATTTTTAAACATTTTCTCTAATCTAATTGGTGTCATGTGCCATTTATAAAACATTTTATATACGTTTTCCTTATATGCAGCTGCTTTAGTGAATTTAATATTTCGGTCCCATAGTTTTTGCCAATCTTCTAAATCTATAGAATAACCAAAATTCTTTCCCCACACTATCATTGTTTCTTTCACTTGTTCTTCCATCTTCCAGTTTAGCAGGAATTTATAGAGTTTCTTAATCAGATTTTCATCTGTTTTCAAAAGTATTTTATCTAGTGTTGTCTGTTCTTTGTAAAATTCCATTACTTTTGTATCTTTTTCATATCTTGTTAGAATTTGCAAGTATGACCACCATGTTAAATCAATGCCAGTTTGTTGAAGTTCTTGCCTATCTTTAAGTTTTCCTTCTTTATCTAAAATGTCTTTATAGGCCACAAGTTTGTTATAGTTAATTAAATTCGGATACGCAAATGCTTTCATTGTGGAAAGCCACTCAGGTATTTTCATATAAATTTTATTTTTAACTATCTCCCACTCTGAAAGTAATACATTCCTTATGGCAGGGCTTTTCAACCTTTTCACCCATTGTACCACTTTTAGGATATGGCAATATCCGAGTAGCACCAGTTGCCTAGCAAGATGTCAAAAACTTGATGACCAAAAAAAAAAAAAAAAAAGGAAAAAAGTGATAAAGTACAGGTAGTCCTCGACTTACAACAGTTCGCTTAGTGACTGTTCGAAGTTACAATGGCACTGAAAAAAGTGCCCCCAAGCCACAGACGAGCAAGACACCTGCCTGCCCACCCGGTGGTACTCTTCCTCCTGTCCGAGGTTTTCATTGCTGTGAGCATTTCTGTTGAGGATTGGCAGTGGGGGTGGGGTGGGGGGATGTTTGGTTTTTATTCCCCCCATCGGGTGGTTTTGGTCACTTCACATGACCTTGGGACACGTCATAAATATGAATCAGTTGCCAGGCATCTGAATGTAAATCACAAGACCCTGGAGAGGCTGCAACATTCCAGGTGATCGGCACTTTTTCTGGGCTCAGCAGAAGCGCCAGGATCAGTGCTGTTTTCCAGCTGATTGGTGCTTCTTCAGGGCTTAGCAGAAGCACCAGGATAAGTGCTGAGTTCCAGCTGGAGCCTGGCGCTGATCCTGGCGCTCCCGCTGAGCCCTGACAGCCCTGCAGCTCCAGCCATCTCTCACTCAGGCTTATGCGGTGCTGCCACCAGTTCAGCTCATTCCCCTCCCCCACTACCACTTTTCTAAGATGGTCACATACCACCTGCTAGGTGCCAATGTACCACAGCTGGTACCCGTACCACTGGTTAAAAAGCCCTGCCTTATGGCATGGGTTTGGAAGTATTTATGTACTTTGTTTTTCTCGTACCAAAGGAAAGCATGCCAACCCAGTTGCAAATCATGTCCCTCTAAGTAAAGAAGTCATTTATTTCTCAGTGTGATCCATTCTTTAAGCCACAACAAAATAGTGGCTTGGTAATAAAGTCTCCAGTCTGGGAGCCCAAAGTCCCCTCTGTCTTTTGATTCTTGTAACAGTTTAATTTTTATTCTTGCTTTTTTCCCTTGCCATATAAATCTCAATATTGTTGCATTTAAGTCATCAAAAAAATTCTGGCTTAGTTTAACAGGAACCGTCTGAAATAAAAATAACAATTTAGGTAGGATATTCATCTTAATAGTCTCTATCCTTCCTAGTAATGATAATTGAAAGTTTTTCCACTTCTCCAAATCCATTTCTATTTGATTCAATAATCTTCCATAGTTATCTTCTTTTATTGTTATACATTTTGATGTTAAATAAATAGCTAAGTATTTACCGTATATTCCGGCGTATAAGACGACTTTTGAGAGCGATGAAACAGCCTCCGAACTCGGGGGTCGTCTTATACGCCAAGTCATAACGTTTATTTATTTATTTATTATTTCCGGCGTATAAGATGACTTTCTAGGCATGCGACTCGGTGTCGATCATCTTATACGCCGGAAATGACGTTATTTCCGGCGTATAAGATGATCGACACCGAGTCGCATGTCTAGAAAGTCATCTTATACGCCGGAAATGACGTCATTTCCGGCGTATAAGATGATCGACGCCGAGTCGCATGCCTAGAAAGTCGTCTTATATGCGACTCGATCGTCTTGCGACCCGGCGTCGAACTCGGGGGTCGTCTTATACGCCGGGTCGCCTAATACGCCGGCATATACGGTAACTTCTTTAACTATCTGGAGATTTGTTTTTTCCACAAATTGAGCTTTCTGTTTTTCTGTTAAATTGTAAGTACTTTAGTCTTTTCCCTATTTATTTTCAACCCAGCCACTTCTCCAAATTCCTCTATTTTTTGCAATAATTTAGTGGCTGTTTCCAAAGGTTCCTCCAAGATAAAAACCAAATCATTTGCAAAAGCTTGTAATTTATATTTCTGATCTTTTATCTCCAGTCCTTTGATCTCCCCATCTTGTCTAATATTCCTGGCCAACACTTCCAGTGTAAGAATAAATAACAAGGGAGACAGTGGACATCCCTGTCTTGTACCCTTCCTGATCTCAAAATTATCTGTATAGTCTCTATTTATAAGTATCTTTGCTGATTGTTCATTGTAGATTGCTTGAATTGCATTTATAAAATTTTCACCAAAGTCCATCACTCACAATTGATGAAACATAAATTGTCAGTTAAGATTATCAAAAGCTTTTTGTGCATCCCAAAATATCAATGCCATTTGTTTCCCCGGATGTTTTTCATAGTATTCTAACACATTCAAAATAATTCTTAAGTTATACTTTATCTGTCTTTTAGGCAAAAAGCCATTTTGATCTGAATGAATAAATTCATTCAAAAATTTCTTCATTCTTTCCGCTATTATTGCTGTAAATATTTTGAGGTCCACATTTAATAGTGATAGTGGCCTATAGTTTTTAATTTGTGTGAGATCCGTATCATCTTTGGGAATCAGAGAAATGTTAGCTTCTATCCAGGATTTTGGTATTTTCATCCCCAAAAAAGTTTCATTACAAAGATCTTTCAGTATCGGACTTATTATATCTTGTAAAGCTACATAAAATTCCGCTGGTAAACCATCAGGTCCCTGAGTTTTATCTCTCTTTTTTTGTCTTTTTATAGCCTCAATAATTTCCATCATTGTTATTTTCTCGTTCAACATATGTTGAATGTTCTCTGGTATCTTTGGAAGGTTTGCTTTTCTTAGGTATTCCTGTATTGCCTCCTTGGAAACCATCTCTGTGCAGGCGATACCTCTTTTGAACAGGAAAGATACATCTATGGAATTCCTATTAACTGTACATGTTTAAAAAATGTTAAGTTTTGAAAAAAAAAAGCCGTAAATCTGTCTTTTTACTCTGCTGTTTACTGTTTTTCCTTGATGATAATTCAGTTCATAAGGATATTTTTATTTCTTCCTATAAAACAGTATTCATTCCATTTAAATTGATACGAGGGTATTTTGAGTAGCATTAGTGTATTTTGGTCTTTCTGCCAACCTCTTAGTATGCTTATGGGAAATTTTCCCATTCCACTAGTCAAAAAGGCTGGTATTCTGTATTACCAGTTACAGAATGTTTATATATTTCTTTCCTCTGTCAGAATGAAACAGTAACTTTACTTTTCTAAAAATTCATCTTCCACCTATTTCTCTATAAATTAAAAATGGGTTTGCAAAAATAAGTGTTATAAGAATTCTTATTGCTAATTCTCTGTATTAAAAACAATTACTGATGTCTCTCTCTATTTTAATTAAGCCAGTAGTGTAACAGCCTACCAAACACATTTAAGCATTTTCAAAGTACAGTGTCAAATTTCTCTTAGTTTAATTTGTTTATATATTAATTAAGCAGTGTTTACCTTCCAATAATACCTTTCTCTCACAGTTCTAGGATAAAAAGATTAGATAACACATTCTCTTTCAAATTTTATTTATTTACATGTTGCCTAACTCAAATACGTGGCAGCTCTTAAAGTTAAAATAGAAAACTGTTACAAAAAATAACCAAAATCATAAAAACACATTACTTACATTAAAAGAGTAAAAACCATGTCTTTTATGGTTTTTCATAATCTGCAAGCATGCAGTTCAAGTGCTAACAATGTAACTATCTAGCAAGCTCCACACTTCCATTACCAGATTCCAGAAAAAAGGGAAAAGTAAAATCTTCAGACTCTTCCATAAGACCAATAAAAGCCAAGGCTAATCTAACCTTTTTAAACTTAAACTTAAAAATATTTATTATGTCAGATATTATTTCTGAAATACCTATAAAATGTCTTCTTTAACACTTTCCTGTCACTTTCTGGAGGCTTGCCTATCTACTGTAAGAATCAGGCAAGGAATTTATGATTATAATACGTATCATATTGTGGTCTTTTGTGCTGAGACATACCAGTATCACATACCAGTGTCCACATTAGAGGGAAGAATGTAGTTTGCTAGTTATATCAGCATTTACATCAGCTCTCATTTCTAGGAATCATTTTCATTTCATTCTCCTATGTTGAAATGCTTTTTCTTGGAGATTTTCTATATTTTGTTTCCCTGGTATTCTTACTTCAAATTTAACTGAGCAAATGGTGTAAAACTTTTAACATTCTATTGTATTTACAGGTCTTGAAACTTTTCAAGGTTTTACATAGGACAAGGCAAAATGTGTTCAAAGGTGACACCAGAAGCTTAGACGGTAAGAATTCTTGTGTTTTTTTGGTAAAGGAACTGAAAAAAACAAATGTTCAATCCTTTTCCCAGTCGGGGGCTATTTAAAAACGTAATTTTTAAAAAATAAAGTTTTACGGTATGATTATTAATTCTAACATGTAGTTGTATTTGAGCATCTATGCTTTTTTCTGGAATGGTATACATTCTATATATGCATTGAACCTGTTATTTCATTATAAAATCTCACCAGTGTTGAATTGTAGTTGCTTCACTGTTTATTCAGTCTTTCTTTCTATGTTTTATCTTAAAAGATACAAAGCCTAAATGTATTTACAATTCTTACTTTATGATCTAAAAAAGTTTTCTTCAGTCAGAAGAGAGGCAAAGTCTGCCTGGCTAACCTCAAACTGGCATACATGCATTCAGATCAAATATGTGTAAGAAGAAGATGACTTACTAGCTTCACCACCCAGAAGCTGTTGGAGAAGGTGTTGAGCACTAGACCTTTCTAAACTTTAAAGTTGCAGCAGGGCTGCTGGAACAAGAATTTAATTTTTCTCTTCACTGCAACCTAAAAGGGGACTGAAAAAAAATCAGACATTTGCAGGTGTTCCATATTAAGAAGTGGGAAAAACAAAGTTGCTCACTTTTTTCATCCATATGTATACTTCTAGATGAGAACTTGTTTCATCACTCAATGTATTTATATGTTCTAAATCTTGATTTCTCATCCTTGCTATGAACACTTTAAAATTTCTCCTGAAATTTTTTAAAAAAGGAAAACTCTCTGGACCTTTCATCAAGGTCTTCTGCTTCATGAGTTCAATATCATATTTTGCTCTTGATTCAACGTACAACATTAAGTTATTCTGCTTTCTAAATAAATGCATTGGAATAAATAAACTGAATGCAAATAAGAAAAAAATCAATTTGGATAAAAATTTATTACACTCAAAGGACCCAAGAACAAGCTTAATAAAAAAGAAAACAACACATGGGAAACAAATCATCCAGAAACAAGTTTTTTCATGCATCTAATCCTGGCAGCTGAAATTTTGGCTGCATTAGGCCTAAATTTAGATAAGAGAAAATTACATATACATGGTTTGAAAAGCCTGGTTGAAAAAAACGAAGGAGAAATAAAGGTTTGCCTCAGATCATACAGTATACAGTTCACACAAGCCTAAAATACAGGTAAAATCTTTGTACAAGAGGTATTCTTTGGAATCTTCCTATACAAAAAATGTCCTGATTAAGAACTATGATTTATGTGGGTTAGCTATGAGTCCATACACTAATTGTTTTGATAATACATTTCTAAATGAACTGGAAAACAGGATAAATTAGCTTTATTACTCAAATCCTATGAGCTTATATTCTAGACCCCTTGTCTAATAAACAAAAAACTGAAATATACCCCATTAAAAATAGGCAATCTGGAGAGAGGCCAATTGGGCTAATTTTATGGGTTATAATTTTAAGCTAGGAACTAATAAATCGGTCATCAAGATAAGAAAATAATCCTGAACTGGAATAAAAGACAGTTAGTATAACTGCAGCACAAAATGCCCTGGCTTCCAATGAATTTTGTCCTGTCTCAAAAAGAACTATAGCATTTCGTACAGCTGGTAGTATTAAAAGGGATCCCAACAAATGGACTGTTTAGATACGCACAAATACACAGCAACAAAGAACCACACAAAACACAACCAAAGAACCACCAAGACCACTCCCGTCAACACTGACAAAGCAAGCCACTAGAACAGGGGTGTCAAACTCGCACGTCACGTGATGTGTCGCAACATATTGTGACTTTTTTCCCCTTGCCTGAGCTGGGGTGGGCATAGCTTCCACGTGACACATCCGGCACATGGGCCAGAATATAAAATGAGAGCAAACTTCACTCCCTGTAGCACTGATAATGTTACCTAGTTTGAGTAATGAAACATCTGCAAGAAAACAATCAAGCTGAGAGAGCACCAGGGACCCTCTTATTTGTTCACGTTATGCCACATTTGAAAAATGGGAGCTTATATACATTTAAATATCTCCTTGTTGGAGCCTTATCTTATCCAAGATAATAATTATGCTGCTTTGTGATATGTCAGGTAAACTTTCTTTAAATACTGATTTCTATTAACTGTTTCATGTTCAATTTCCTCAAAGTACTGCAAAGGAATAGTTTTTAACTTGCATTTGGGACTTTTAGTGACATTTTGTAATATATATTGTAACTTAAATATTGGGAAAACAGACTATATCTTTTAAAATATTTTCAGATTAGCACATAAGGTTCTGATAACATACTGTGGGAATAAATTTTATAGAAGAATCTATTTTATCTGTAACAAAAAGCTGAATAAATACATTTTTTTAAATGCCTATTCTCTCTTTTTTAATGTAGCTGCAAGACTTAAGATAAATGAAGAATTCAAAAATAATAAAAATGAGACTTCTCCTGAAAAAATAGCTGAGGTATTTGCACATAAAATGTTTCTGCTATTGAATACAATTCTGCATTGCAACTTAAGCTAGCTTAACTTTTATAAAATATACTATGTTTAATTTTGTATTAACTATATGAAGCAGATTAGGAACAGAATGAGGACGGATATTACTAGCAAACAATTGCAAATGTTTCTGTAAAATTACCATTCTTAATGTTTTTTTCTAAAAAAGAAATGACAGTGAAACTGTCAGAATACAAATGTATATTGGAAACCACAGCTTGAAAGTCAGTGGCTAAATCTCTGTTTTATAGTGATAGTTTTCTATGTTCATATTCAAAGGGAAAGATAGTGCAAAGCAATAATCAAAGATGGATTAGGAACAAGCATCTGTTGAGCAGAGATAACAGTTACTTTATTTTTCTTCTTAGAATTCTATACTTTGCAACATTTTTATTGCAGCTTGAAATAGAATAGTCTGGAGCCTCCTAACCTTTAAAGCTAATACAGATAATCCTTATTTAGTATCACAGGACTGATAACTGTTGCTAAGCAAATTGGTCGCAAATAGGAAATCAAATGACTAAGATTGTGCTTTCCATTTCACATTTTCCTGCCCCTTGAATGCTCACTCCAGTGCTATGATAATTAGCAAAAAGGAGATTAATATTTGTATTTACATTCATTGGAGAGGAAGGGATTATAAAAGACTATGCAGACACACAATGGGGAATATGCATTGGAAGGAATGTGCATTGGAATGTGGTGGCGGTGGCAGCCATACACAAATAACCTCGTTTATTCCCCATTGTGTGCCTCCTTAGTCTCTTCTAAAGCCTTCCTCTGCAATCTCACTGCTGTTCCAGCTACAGGGAGCACACAGGTCAGGCCCAGGATAATGCTTACAAATCATAATTACATGACTGAGGGATGCTGAACAAGGCAATCAGTAAGTGAGAACTACTTGTAGGTATTTTTGAATTTTAAACATATGCTATGTACGTTCCCACAAAATGACCACTCTGGTGATATGGTCATGGCCAGTCATACAATTTACTAAAAGACAACAGATTCGATGATTCCTATTACCCTTTCTTGCCTCCCCCCAAACTTTCCAGTTTACACACTCACACTGTCTTTAGGCAGAAGAGCATTGAACCAAAATCCTCATCACTTTTATTTTTAAAGAATGCCTCTATAGAAATGTTCTGGAAAATAATTTTTTATTTTATTTAATGAATATGTATATTATATATGTATATTAAAAAAAGAAACATAGAATAGGATATAGAGCTTAGAGGGCACTCTGAGAAGTTCCTGCTGGCACTTCAAGAAACCATATTGGGAGAGCTAAACCTTAAACTTTTGGAATTCTGTAGGAGCTATGTAGGTTTTTAATGATACCCAATTTCTTCTTTCTTATTAAAGCATGGCTAAATAGATTTAGAGGCTTTTTAATCTGACCATTAATCAATAAGATCCTGAAACAGGATCAATTTTGCCGCCTTTCTATTTAGCAGAATATTATACTATCAATCCCTGCCTGACAAACTGTTACTTTGAAATTTATTAGCTCATGAGCTAATAAGTATTATATTTTGTCACCAGTGCCAAACTAGTGAATAAGCTATCTTTGTTGTTCCATTTCAGAAACATTTCCCTCGCTCACTAATTTTTTTTCCTAAAATGCCACCATTTATAAATGAATGCTAGTTATCTGACAGGTGAAAAAGAGGGAGAATAGGGAGAATAGCATCTCTGCAAAACCTGTTTAAAAGAATAATAAATTGCCTGTAAAACAGGAACAAGCTCTTTTATGTGGATGCAGGATATGTATATGGACACCTTTAAATGAACCAATCTTTGACACAGAGTCTTCTTGCAGAAATCGGCATAATAGAGTCCATTATTCTGTAATTTTCTCTCTCTCAAAATTGGAACAGCTCTAATTCCTTTAATTCCTGATATTTAGTTTCTTTTGCCTGAAGAAAAAAAAACTTCTGTCAAATTCAGCAAGTGTTCATGTGTTCAACAGCATTAAAATCTCAGCCGTAAAAAAATGAATTTATGAAGCTTTCACAAAATCTTAGCTGATTGAACACTGATAGCTAAATTAAACAAATGCATATTTTTCATGGGTTATTATTCTTTCAGTCAGTAACTCAGATATTTTTACAAGTTGACTCATGGAGATAATTATTTAGATTTGGAGGAATAGACTGTCAAATTATTCATGAATTTGATGGAATGATAAAATTATAACTTTTGAAATCATAATAAACTGTAATTACTATCTGTATATCAAGTAGCATATTCCTGCTTTGTGGCTTTGAATTTTAATAAAGTGTGAGATCTTTTTAATGCTATCCAGCTGATAGCTCTCTGAGTACTTCTTTGGAGCAGTATGATAGCATTGTAATGATTTCTAGTAGTAGGTGCAATATAAATTAAAGCAAGATGTCAAACATGAAAATTTAATATTAAAAGAATATAAAAATATCATTAAACAAACTGATAGTTTCAGGCACTCTTTAGTGATCATAAAGGAAATATATTGAAAAGTTCACTTTTGCACTGTTTTGAAAGGAAATACAGGGTTTTTGTGATTAAATCTCCACCCCGTGATGAATATTTCTTTATCCATATTCTATTAAAGCATAGGTAATATAAATATAGTAATGTCAATATCAAAGATAAACATCCTTTGAAAATCTCAGTTACGAAATGTACAATGAACTTGTAAGGTTTATTGTTCATTTCATGGATGATTAGGAAGCAAAATATATTAGTGAATAATTATTAATTCTGTTTCCCAACTCCACCCAGTTTATAAAATTAGCTTCAGATGTGGAAGTTATACTTAGAACATGTGTCCTACAAGGTGTTTATGTGGATGCCGACAAAATAAGTAAGTAAAGGTTCTCTGCCTTGCAACTTTTATTAATCAGTTTAATATTGAGTACTACATATACGAAGCTAAACCTGGTACAGTGTATTTGATTTATTAGGTATAAATATATATACCATAGATAGAGGGGGTACATGTGATAATTATATAGTATCATCTTTTAGAATTTAATTAGATTTAATTAATATATTAATATAGTAAACAGAAATTCTGTAGATTTCAATATATTCTGTTTATGGCAGGTTGATATTAGTTTCAAGTAGTTCTTTAATGAATAGTGGAATATTGAAGAAATATCAGTATATAGTTATGAAAGCCTTATAATCTATCAATTTTTTTCTGTTTTCCTAATTCCAACAAGATCTGTTTTAATAGAAACTTTCTACCTTGAATAATTAAATATCTTAACATATTAATGTTTCCAATAATATATTTTTGTAATATTGTATCTAATGAATTATTAAATAATGCATACCTGAAAAGCCCCCCTCCAATAAAATGTATATGGTTTGTCTATTTTTCTATCCTATGGTACTTCCTGTGGAATGTGAGATCTTTGCAACATAAAATACAAAATGTTATGATTAATATCAAACAGATTAAACCACTTTTAATTCCAAATAGGTACAGATTCAGTTTGCATCAAAACCTTAACTAGAATTCCAGACGTGAAGGCACCATAACTTTCTGTTGGCATGGAAATTTGCCTTTTTTAAAAGCTGCTATACATTGCATGAACATCTTTTTTTTATTTATCCACTTAATTATTGACACCAATGGTAACATGTCAATCCCTTAGTCACCCCTTAGCTGAGACTGGACAGAAACTGAGATGTCCACAGATTTAGTTTGACACCTTAACCAACATGCCACATTTGTTCTCCATTATACTGAATAATCATATTTGACTTTTTTTTTTTTGACTGAAGAGTAAGAAGTAATTGAGTACTGCATTCATCAAGTCATTATTAGCTACAGTACTTACAGGGTTTTGTGTCTCAGTAATAAAGCTTTTGGTTTCTGGGCAAGAAGTCACAGATTCAATATCTGCACACTCAAGGAGGATAAGGATGATCTTAGAGTTCAGCTCTTTATCATATAACATAAATATACAATGGCATAGAAATGGTCTGCCATTTCTTTCTTCCTAGATTTATTTACTTATTTAACTTCTTAGACTCCCCTACAGCTGTGGTTTTCACATCTTCTCTCCCATCCAAGAACCAAGTATGGCCCAATTCTGCTTAATTTCCAAGCCCAGGAAGATGCGGTCACGTGCTAAGATGGTATCTCCAGAAATGACTGGAAAAATTCCTGCCTCAAACTCAGGAAACCCATCACCAATTGAAACAAATAACATTTGGGTTAATACATGAATCAATGTTTTAACTAAATATGGATTTTTTTGCCATGATCTGACTATGGCAAACAGATAAAGTATATGGCCTTTGCAGTAGGCAGAACATTTAAATATGTGTGTTTGTAATTAGTTTATAATTTCACAGATTCCTATTTGTAGAAAATAATGCTTCTAATTCTACAATCTCCATTATAAACTCCTAGAAAGACAGTTGCCTTTGTTTAAAAAATAGTGTGGAAAATCTAATATTAATGTCTTTTTCTTCCAGGGCTTTTACCAAGAAAGGATGTGCTGAGAGACAATGCTCCATACTGTGACACCCCAAAGCAAAACACATGAATTTAATAGAACAAAAGTTTTGATTAATTAACTGTGCCATGTAATTTCTTTTAAAATAAAATATTTTTCCTATAATATCGGCCTAAATAAAATTCTCATTATGAATTATTGTATTCAAATGAAAAGCAAAAAAAATACTTTTTGTTAATTCAGGAAACATATTCAGATTTATTTTCTGGTTTAAGAGAATGTCTTTACATATACGGTAGCCAAATTAGTGTAAGACTTTCATAAATTTTAATCCCTCCAATGGATATGATTCATTCTTTCTATGTACTTCAAGTTTATATTTTCCTTTCAATCCCCAAATATGTAATAACCTATTTTAGAATTAAAAAAAGAAAATGTTTTCAAATTTTAAAACATAATTCTAAAGATTCCAGAAAAACAAGGTGCAGAGTTTCATGCAATTAATGTAAATTATAAACTTTTTAATTTTCAGTGAATATTATACAGCATACATATTGTTTTATTCAAATTTAAGGAGATTATTTTAAACCTTTACACTTGAGGAAAGAAGTGTTGGTTTATAAAGGTATAATTCCAGTCATTCCATTCCACTCAGAAGTAGTTCACATTGAATTCATTGGGCTTAATCCTAGATTTGTAGATTGCAGCCTTAAGCTTTGATGCTATCTACAATTTATATTATTTATATGCCAATAGGCATCAAATGGCCTACGCTTACCTTTTCCTAAATTTTAGTGAACTTAATAATAGTGCTGACTTCTGTGTAGTCTTGAAATTGTGCTACCTGTCAGTTGTTTCCACTATATGTTGTCAGTAGAATTTTAAATCTGAGTTGTAGCCTGTATATTGGATATTTTTACAGGAATTATAGGAATAGCTTGTTCCCTTGGTTTTAACACTGTTACAGGAAAACAGTAAGGTTTAATGAAGGAGGACAGACTTTTACAGTGGGTTGTTGTTGTTTTTTTGCTTTTTTAAAAAAATATAAATAGTGGAGTATTGAACGGGAAATATGGCAAAAGGGCTGAAGAACATCGTCATGGAAAGATTATTATGAAGTTTTTTATGAAGAAAGAATTTTCTCCCTTCCTGATTTAGTATGGTGGCTTTCATTCCCAAATTATTAAAATTATGTATTTTGTATTTGTAGAATAATTCTCATTGGATAATTACACTGAATTGACTTTATGTTTTCCATTTGGAACCACAGAGTTACTAACTTGCATCCTGTCTCAGACCATCTCTTCAATACTGATTTAAATTATTCTCATAGCATTATCCAGCCATTACTACTGTAAAGTGACATAATAGTCATTACTGTTGTTTTGGTCCAACCTTATCAAATGAAATTATTGGTAGGGATAGCTTATTTTTTATATCTACTCCTAAGAAAGGTTAGACAATATTTAGTCAAAAATATAGTGATGTGTTCAGCAGATGGTGCTCTTGCATATCTATAAGGAAGCAAGCTTGGGAGAGAATTCAGACTCATGCCCAGTGTACATTTTAATTTGAGAGGTAAGCAGTATTTCAAAGGTACATTTTATAATTAATTGGTTGAATTATTGGAAGTAAATAATTAAACCTCTTTGTTTTAAAAAGAAATATAAAAACAAAAAGGTTGGTTTTCAACAGTCTGTTTAAACAAGCATGAGTTTTTCTTGAAATATATATTAGATATATTACATACATACGAAAAAAATGCATACCGTTTAGAATAAAACTAAATCATAAATTATGATTCAATGAACAATAACAGCTTATAGCTATAATAGTGAAACCCTCTTAGATGTGGGTTTGATTAAATTCAAGGAAATATCCAAGTAAGTGTATTTATCTTAGCTAAATTATAGCTAAATTATAACCTTAACTAGATTTTACATCCAACTTTTTCAGTTCTGCAGGGATTCGTTTCATTTGTGCTATTGCTCCTGAAAATGCCAGATTGGTGTTAGCTTTAATGATGTAACTGTAATTATTGGCTGTGTATCATTAGATCTGTACATAAGGAATTTAATTTCTAGTACTGGCAGTTCTTTTTGCACTTCCTTTGCAAAAATGGAAAAATATTAACACTGGAAAACTAAAAATAAGGCCAACTAACCTTTGCAGGAAAACAGACTTTCCTTGCATGAGACAGCTTTTCCAAATGTTTCCTCAGGTTTAGCTTGGAAACACTCTGTTAGAATGAATGAGAAATGCATAATCATGAATGCTATTAAATACACAATCTTTTCTATAGTTATGACTACAGTAAATACCTATTATAAACTTGAATTGTACATACCGTTTGTGTTAAAAAAAATTTTTTTACAAAACTAGTTTCTTACAGTAGGAAGTGTTCGGTTCAACTGACTCCTGGGTACAATTTTGGTATATACTGTAATCTTCTCAGACATTATGTTTTCTACTCTATTACAGGAAAGTTTTAGATTAACAACATCCGCATCCACTGTGATATGGAGGCTATTGTACATCTCGGCACTAACGATCTGTCCCAAAAAGATGTACTCTCTGTGCAGAACGATTTCCAGAGCTTAAGGAAGGAACTTAGCAGAATAGGCTGTAGGCTTACTTTCTCAGAGGTTTTACCAGTGTATAAGGAGCAAAATGGAAAAGGCCAGTGCATAGCACAATTCAATATGTGGCTAAAGGAGTGGTGTAAAGGGGAATGCTTTGGATATATTAGTCACGATGTCTGTAGCTGGTCCAATCAAAAGATGTACAAAAGAGATGGTTTGCATCCATCAAAAAAAGGGACTGAGTTACTCGGCTATAAATTCACAGATTTTCTGGAGGAAAATTTAAACTAAACAGCAGGGATAGTGAGTTAATTGATACAGAACAACCCTGTCCCCGGCAATCTAAAAATTATAGGGCTACCAGTGCATGTAGCATAGATGTGTGTGTGGACAAGAATACCAACCTTGCTGTTAAGCAAAATGAAGCCTCGAATAGCGAGTGCACACAAAGTGCACTAACCAAATAGGTGGTAAGACAATAGGGGAACTCAGGCACCACACAGGTTATGTAGAAAGTAAACACAGGGCCAGTCACAAAGTACTCAAATGTTTATACACCAATACATAGCATATGAACAGCAAACAGGGTTAACTAGAAATTCAGGTTAATGAGGGCAGATATGATATTGTTGCTATTACGGAAACATGGTGGGATGAAACCCACACATGGAACACACAGCTAGAGGGACTTAAATTATTTAAAAGAAACAGACCAAATAAAAGAGGAGGTGGAGTTGCTCTATATATAAGAAATAACTACATCTCTACAGAAATAGAGCACAACAATGATAAAACTGTCTTGAATGCATTTGGGTCAATATAAAAGGGGGGGAAATGACATTGCCATAGGTGTATACTACAGACCACCCACCAACCAAATAGATGAACTTTTTGCTAGTCAGCTAACTAAGGTATGTAGGAAGCACATCACAATAGTAATGAGGGACTTTAACTACCCTGACATCAACTGGGAGACAAACTCTGCACCAAGTGGAAGATCAAACAGGTTCCTGGCAAACCTAGCAGACAACTTTGTCTCCAAAAAAGTAGAGAAGGGAACTAGGGGATTAGCCATTTTGGATCTAATTCTCACTAACAGAGATGAAATGATAGAAGGTGTTGAAGCCATAGGAACCCTGGGAGGAAGTGATCATGCAATATTAGAATTCAACATTATGGAAGCACAAGCAATAGAACACAGTCAAACTAGAGTCTTGGACTTTAAGAGAGCTAATTTTAATAAACTTAGAGAGGGCTTGGGAAGGATTCCATGGATGAGAATCCTCAAGGGGAAAACAACTCAAGAAGCTTGGGAAATTTTGAAAAATGAGATAATAAAAGCACAGTCTAGCACAACAGCTCTCAAAAGAAACCAGCATGGCTGCATAAAGAACTCTCTGACAAATTGAAAGATAAAAAGGACAAGGATAGAAAGTGAAAAGAGGGGCACATAACTAAGTCAGAATATCAGCAAATAGCCTAAGCCTGCAAAGATGAAGTGAGGAAAGCCAAGGCTCAAAATGAACTAAGGCTTGCGACCAAAATCAAAAATAACAAAAAAGCTTCTTTCAACATGTAAAAAACAAGAAAAAAGTGAAGGAAATGATTGGTCCATTAGTGGGTGAAAATGGCAAGAAGGTGGCAAGCAACAGGAAGAAAGCAGAACTATTTAACTCATTTTTTGCATCTGTCTTTACACAAAGGGAAAAAACAGACCAACCTATCAAAAATAGTGCCATAAAAAACAGAATAGAAACACAAGTTAAGATAGGCAAGAAAATGGTAAGTGAGCACCTGTCCAGCCTAGATGAGTTCAAATCACCAGGACCAGATGGATTACACCCCAAGGTTCTCAAGGAACTGGCAGATGTGATCTCGGAACCACTGAATTACCAGAGGACTGGAAAAGAGCTGATGTAGTTCCCATCCTCAAAAAAGGGAAAAAATGGACCCAGAAAATTACAGACCTATCAGCCTGACCTCAATACCTGGGAAGATCCTGGAAAAGATAATCAAACAACAAATCAACGAACACCTAGAGGTAAACAAAGTCATTACTAAAAGCCAACATGGGTTTGTCAAAAATAGATCATGCCAGACAAATCTTATCGTATTCTTTGACCAAGTGACAAAATTAGTGGATCAGAGGAATGCTGTGGACATAATTTACTTGGACTTCAGTAAGGCATTTGATAAAGTAGATCACAATCTACTACTTGATAAGATAGAAAAATGTGAGGAAGACAGAATCACCACCAGATGGATCCGTAGCTGGCTGACTGGCCGTACTCAGCGAGTGGTCCTCAATAGAACCGCATCTACATGGAGAGAAGTGTGTAGTGGGGTGCCCCAGGGCTCTGTTCTGGGCCCAGTGCTCTTCAACATCTTCATCAACGATTTGGACGAGGGGATAGATGGGGAACTCATCAAACTTGCAGACGACACCAAGCTGGCAGGAATAGCCAACACTCCAGAAGACAGGCTTAAGATACAGAAGGATCTGAACAGACTTGACCACTGGGCACTATCTAACAAAATGAAATTCAATAGTGAAAAAAAGCAAGGTTCTACATTTAGGCAAGAAAAACCAAATGCACAAGTACAGCATAGGTGGCACCTTGCTCAATAGTAGTAACTGTGAGAGGGACCTCGGAGTCCTAGTAGACAATCATTTAAATATGAGCCAGCAGTGTGCTGCAGCTGCCAAAAAGACCAACACAGTGCTAGGCTGCATTAACAGAGGGATAGAATCAAGATCACGTGAAGTATTAATACCACTTTACAATGCCTTGATAAGGCCACACTTGAAATACTGCATCCAGTTTTGGTCACCACGATGTAAAAAAGATGTTGAGACTCTAGAAAGAGTACAGAGAAGAGCAACAAAGATGATTAGGGGACTGGAGGCTAAAAGCATATAAGGAACGGTTGCTGGAATTGGGTATGTCTAGTTTAATGAAGAGAAGGACGAGGGGGGACATGATAGCAGTGTTCCAATATCTCAGGGGCTGCCACAAAGAAGAGGGAATCAAGCTATTTTCCAAAGTGCCTGAAGGCAGGACAAGAAACAACGGGTGGAAACTAATCAAGGAGAGAAGCAACCTAGAACTAAGGAGAAACTTCCTGACAGTGAGAACAATTAATCAGTGGAACAACCTGCCTCCAGAAGCGGTAAATGCTCCAACTCTAGAAGTTTTTAAGAAGAGACTGGACAGCCATTTGTCCGAAATGGTATAGGGTTTCCTGCCTGAGCAGGGGGTTGGACTAGATGATCTCCAAGGTCCCTTCCAACTTTATTATTACTATTATTATTATTATTATTATTACTATTATTATTATTATTATTATTATTATTACATCTCAGGTATTATGGTATAATGTGGCATGTTGTGTTTAAAGTATTGAATGTATATAATTCAGCATCCATTACTGAATTGGAAGGGGAAGACTATTCTAGTTCCTGCCTTTTCAAGAACATTTATGTTAGCAATGATGGTATTATTATATCATGCTTGAGTGTACTTTGAGAATTTAAATTTTAAACACCAATTTAAACTAAGGAAATCTGGGAACTTGATAAATATAAGGAAAAGATAAACCCAATAGTAAATTGGAGAAAATTCTTAAAAGTATGCTCAGATTGGTTCATGCTAGGAAGTCACTCTATATCTCTGCAAGGCAGGAATCATGCTAAAGTGGCCTTGCCCTTTTTTATGCTTAGGAATTTAATTCTTAGGACATTTTACTGTTCAGACTTTTAATCTATCTGATTCAATACTGTCTGTAGGACTGTTTTCTCTCAGAAGCTGTGTTCGCATATCGTGATACTTTATCCAGGTATGATACTTCTCAGGGTTGCTTTATTGCTGTAACTTAATGGTAGCTTTATTTACATTATCTCCTCCTACAAAGCCTACACTAGAGGGGAATAATCACTCCAGTTAGAAATGCTAAGTATAATAAAGTAGTCAAAAAGTCATTCTATAATTTAATATTTTTTTAGGACATAGAGCAGATTTAATAAAACAGTACATTTTCCCCCTTTCTAGGCTACATGTAGCCTCAAGTCAATTCACAAGATTCAGATGTAGTACATCAAATCTGATGAAACAGATAAAAGGAAGTAGTCCTCCACTTGCCAGAGATTGCCTGGGGCAAGTAACTGCTGTCAGTCTCTGACTTGTCCCATGTTGGCTGTTTGCTATGATTAGCTCTCATACAATTAAAAACAGCAGGAAAAAGTTATGTCTGAACTGAGAATATCTGAAAAGAAATAATGGAGATTGTATTTCTAGAAAGGACCCTATAAGGCAGTGGTCCTCAATTCTATAAGGCAGCAGGGGAAAAAAGGGGATGATTTGGCACAAGCAGCAGATGAACGCCACTTGCACAAGGAGGTTGGGGATCCCTGCTCTAAGGGTTTTTCTTTTATTGTCCTAACAGTTAGCCAATAAAAATATATTTGATATTTATTTAATTTGCAATTATGTACTAGGCAAGGCTGTCAGTATGGTAATCTATATTCCTGCTTCAGTTTCATCCTCGTAACAATCCTGTGAGGTAGTCTGAACTGGGAATTATAATTGTCCCTAACTCACGCAGAGAGCTACTTGAAAACACATGAACATGAGTCTGTCAAACTCTCAAGATGTTGGAA